TTAAACAGTTAACTATTGTACCAAAAGCCTTTGAAAACAATGGCCAGTTGTCATGGCCAAATAACAGGGCTGACAAAAGGATCAAAATTGCCGAATCTGTTCCTGATGATAATAATTGGTTCACATCTTAAAACGTAGTCATTTAATGTCATAAAATTGCTGAACAAGACTTATAATTGATGTGTGAAAGGAGTGATAGTAAACGAGATGAACTGGTGGTGAGGGAAGATAGAAAGAAGTGCCATACTTGCGCTTCCAAAAAGATATGTAATTTCAATCATGTGGTAGAACCATTGGTAAATATATTTTTTACTAACTTAGATGTTTTGCACATGCCTATATTTACAAAAGTGTATTTTAAATGTTTAACTTGTTCACATAATGGGGATCAACTACTTTAATCTATGAATATTATGAAGAAGCAGCTGAATCAGCAAACCTTCACGATTAATCAGAAGATAATAATTGAATAGATCAATTCCCATTTCAATAGTAATGGCAGCAAAATCATGCGGCTGGCGAAGTTTGAAACAACAAGTCATGTTCATGTAAAATTGAATAAAATTCTGAAGACTAGAATATTTTGCATATAGCTGAACCTATCAGCAGTGCTGAAGAACTCGCCAAGTTCGACCAAAAGTTGTCTGATAAAACAGTCATGAAATACGTTAATTTATGAACAAGTTGGGCTATATATGTGACAGAAAAGGCAATGGTCATGGTATTAATAATTCGTGCGAGCTTTTTACAAGAAAATTCATGGCACTTTGCTCACGGGCAGGTGGGCCCATGGTCAAAGATGAAAAAAAACAACATTTAAAATGTATAAAAATATAATAAAGCTACTTTCTGAAGTCATAAGACTTTCTGACAATTCATTCACCTTAGAAGATGCTGAAAAGTGATTGAAAGCAGTCGTAAAGATATCCACTTGAAGAAATTAATGTCAAATCTTACGATGCTCAAGAATGAAGCGAACTTACACAGATTAAAGCAAGTGTTGGCGAAGTAGTAATGAAGAACAACAATTTCCTAAGTATGGGGATAAATGAAATAATAGTGACTGCAGTTATGTCCTGTTTGCAGGACCTCATATTTCTGGGGTTGGCAAACTGGTCAAAAACAGCCTGTAGTCTTAATAGTCCAAGTTCTATGTACGTTTTTATTACAGAATATATTTTTATTTTTTGTTCAAAGTTTGTAGTTAAGGAATAAAATAGATTTCCTGCTTATAACCTAAACTTACAGCCTTACATTTAATATCTGATACCGGATACAATTTTACAATTTACAAAATTGTTTAAATAAGAAGTTGTTATATGTTTGTCTAAAACTTCTCGTAAACTGAAGATTCCCTTGAACCACTGAAGCTACTTGCATTGCTACAACAGCTTTATCTCGAGTCAAGAACCAGTTGTTACAGTTGTCTGTTGCAACGCAGAAGTTATCAAGCTCTATTCGAGAGAGGTGTCCATTACCATTTTGATTCTTCAACAAAGGTAAGGCACCCAAATGTTCATGTGAATTTTTTAAATAATCAGCATCAAGTTGAATAATTTCAGTCATTCGTCTAGCCACCTGGGCCAGTGGCAAATGGCCATTCCTCAATAGGTTTTTGATTTGATATAATTTGCTTTAAAAGGGATACGTATTGAAACTAGGTAGGAGATCAAATCTTCTTACTTCATTAACTAAATATGTGACATTATGAACGTTACTATACGTAGTTATATAATATTCTCCATAAATATCGCGATCGTATTCAACATAACTGTTGAACAAATTTTCAAGCTCAAGCGAGCTTTCATATATGCCTGAAGAACATATTGTTATTGCACGAAAATTTTTTTAGGAAATTCATATACACATCAGAAGATCTAGGACGTCTTCAAGAATTACTATTCTCTTTCTTCCGAATCTTCCCGGTGACATAAAATTTCAAGTCCTCTCACTTATCTGGGTATTTCTCTGGGCAATTTTGAGTGTTGCAGAAATGTTGAAACTACTCCAATATCCCTAGCACACCATTTTGTTCTGAGACTGCCCACGCTGCTGTCTCTCCACCCAATCAAACACTTTTTTATGAATCTCAAGTCAATTGAATCTGATACTGGATAATCCACAACCATATCAACTGGTAAAGCCATTAGTAAAGTGTCCTGCTTTTGATAAGAGCCATATATTTTAGCTCAAAATCCTTCGTTTGCCCTTTTCTCGCAGTCTGCATTAAAAAAAAAAAACAGAGTATGTGAGATGTGTAATTAATTAAGGTTGAAGAGTATTGGACAAAACTCCATTTTGCTACTGTTAAAAATGGGCAATCCATCCATGTTGATATTTAAAAAAACTAGTCTTGGAAACTTCGCAAGCGACCAGAGGATCTGCCTTAATCCAAACTCCATGATGCCAAATAGTATCTATTCCAATTTGGGTCATTATAATGCTTGGCAAGTTTTCAGAAGAGTCCTAGGGAGCTGAGGAAGGATGTTCAATGTTCCTCGTTATTTGTGTTTAAGCAAAGCTCTAAATGCAGAGTGAGGGATATTAAAAGACACCGCCCAGGTTTTGCGAAACTGTGTATCCTTTTTTGTATCAGCTATAAAACTTTGTTCAATATGTTCCAATTCCTCAAGCCAGTTATTTATTGGTAGTCTGCTGATTCGTCTTCTGATACGATATCAGTGTTGATTTTTTCACCTTCCAGTGTAATGCTGTTAAATGCAGGCTCTACATTATTGTTGATTGATCTACGATAACTTATCTTTTGAGATAGTTATTACTCGTCGTAACTGTTAATAGTATGTTTTTGTAATCTCGCATGATTTTTCTGCGGAATGCGCCACTTACTTTCAGTTTCTTCTACGTATCAAAGTCTGGCATTCTAAAGTTTTGACAAATGTTTAAGCATCAACTAAATAAAAGCATTTAACCTCAAAATAACATAACCGCACTAAGTTCTGACGACGTTGAAAACCCGCTATATTGAACATCAAATTTATCCCAGCTACAGCAATTTCGCACAATAAAGGGTGCAATGTTGCTGTCTTTAGTAGTTGCTAAACGTCAGTTGTATAAATGTTCCCGTTGAGAGCAACTTACTTCCTAAAGTAGTAAAATTTTAAACCCCAATATAATAAGGCTCAGGTTTATTGTATAAATGTTACAACGCATACTACGACACAACTACTCTGACCGTAGAGCCAATGTGCTGTATAGAATGGTTCTAGTTACAAGCCTTTATGCAACAGCAATTAAGCACCCCAAACACCAAGGCTAAGGCTTGTTGTGTAAATGATACAAAAGATGCTTTCGACTACCGAACTAATATGTCGTATAAAATGGTTTTATAAATGTCTATGCGACACTCCCTATTTTATCATATAAGGTGTAGCATTACTGTATTATAAGAACATTGTAAAAAGCTCATTTTAGAACAAATATGTTGCAGGAAGCTGAATTGCATTTTACAAAACATTAACCCAGCATTCTGGTATTCGGACAACAATAAAAGAGAGCTTTTACAGCTTCACTGCCCTTTTACAAAAAACTTATATCATATATGATGTCAGATTACACGCGCTCACACATAGCCAACCACGATTAGCTACAGCTTGTCCGAAGGCATCCACTCGGCCGCGCCTTCTTTGAGAAAACCAGCTCACAGGAAATATTGTCAAGAGGAATCGCGATTTCATATGCTTTCCTGATAACGTGACACGCTATTCCAATTTGTTGTTTGTGCCGTTTTCGGTCATAAGCTCAGGACAGGCCAAAGGTGAGCTCATCCACTCTGGCAGCGTGTAGCTGAGCAAGTTTCTGTGTGCTAGGTGGAGCAGACCGTTTTTTTGCGCTGTTATGCATATTATGTCATTGAATCGGCTTAAATCCCCCAGGGTTGCACTTTATTGCCCTGGAGCAGAGTTCCCCAAACTTTTTTGTGTCGTAGACCCCTTGCCATGTTTTTCCGTGTTGGGTAGACTCCCTACTTACATGATATTGATTTCCTGTAAATTTCTAACTGTAGTGAAGTTTAGTGTTAAAAACTTAAAGTAAAATCACACGTTAATTTATACATTTATTAATTGAATTTAAAGAAAAACTACTCAAAATAAAATTTTGTATCTGTTAAGTAAAATATACATAACATTATATTACATAACAATAAACAGGTGTCTGACCAATAAGTGCCCGGATTGAAAAAAATAAGAGGGATAAAATAAAAAAAAAGTGAAAAATAATAAAAAAAGTTTTTTACTTAAAATAGTACAATAAGCGAGTTCGTTTATTAATTATAACATAAACGTATGTTCTACAATAATTTCAATGTTAGTTTGATTAAATTCCGCTTCTTATACGTTTAAGTTATCCTTGAATTTTCAGAATAATTAAAAAAAAAATATTTTCTATAAAGGGGGGTTCTTTAAAAAAATCAATGCGGGCACTTATTCCCAATGCGGGCATTTATTGGTCAGACACGAATAAACATAAAATAAACTATAAATAAAATAACATAAGCAATAAGTCGATATGTTTAGTGAGAAGGATGAACCTGATGCTTTAATAATAAATTATCATCTTGTCAAACATAAGCCTTTCGACAGCCAGCGTACTTCAGTGTGAAGGAGTAATTGATGAAAGTGTTCGTCATTTTCTTCACACAACTGCGCAAATAACCGCGTATTCAACGCATTGCTTCGGAATCGGTTTACTGCATCAATGACTAAATGAAGTGATTCATGCAATCTAACACTCAAATTTTTAGCAACTAAATGATGTCGATGGACGACGCAATGTATTGCTAACACCCCTGACACATTTTGTTTTAAATAGCTTATAAATCCACGATAACGTCCAGCCATGGCAGGTGCTCCATCTGTAGCTACTGATATTATATTTGATAAAGGAATTGCTCTTTCAATGAAGTATTCCTTCAAAACATGAAATATTGATTCACCTTTAGTGTCGGTTATTTATCAAAGTTCTTGCGAAGAGCAGTTCTTCGTAGATTTCTTGATTCATAATAAAACGAACGTATGCCAATAATAATGCTGCATTATTAGGTAAAGTTGACTCGTCCAGTTGTATAGAGAAATGGGTCATTTGCAAATAATTACATAAGAAGCTTTCAATTTCAGAACTCATTTCATCAATACGTCTTTCAACAGTATTGTTGCTTAAGGGAATTCTTTTAATGATATCAGATGCAGGTTTGTGTAAAACAGTTTTTAAAACCTCTTCAACGGCTGGCAAAATTAATGTCTCTCCGATAGTATGCGGTTTTCCGGATTTTGCTATAAGTGACCAGATATTGTGAGACGCCCGCAAACCATCATCATTTCTTTGTGACGTCGAAGCGAACATTCTGTCCAGTGTAGGTCTCTTCTGAAATTTATCTTTGAGTGTTTGAAAGTATTTCAGATCTTTCTCTGTTTTATCAGGGTGGCATCTTCTCAGATGATCTTGCAGTTTAGATGGTTTCATAGCGTCATTGCCCAAAACTTTGTTGCATAAAAGGCACATAGGCGATTGTTTGTACGGCAATGATGGAATGAAGCCAAATTTCAAATAATCAACACTGTACTGTCTACATTTCTTTTTAGATTCGGACATGACATCAGTCATCTCTGGGCAAAATTAAATTATTTAAATAAGACAGAAAATGTATCTATATTAAAAATATTTTTTGATTTTTCCGAAAACATTCCATAATTCGAACATCTTCTTGCAACAATTAGCTCGAATTACGGAGATTGCACTGTAATTATATTACCGATTACTAAAACTTTCAAAAAGAAACTATTGAGGAGTACTCGTGTAATTTTGCATGATTGAATATTTAATTGCTAATAACTAAGGTCATGATTGGGGTAATTTATCTATATTTGCTAACTACGAGTACAAAACTAAAATTTAATAAAAAATAATGTACTTACTTTTCTCCAGCACTCTCAAACAAAATAACCCTGACTCACTATAACTTGTGTGATATCTGTTTATATTTTTTAAAATATTTTTTTAGCACTTTCCTTTTCAAGATTCAGGAAACGAATAAACGTATTTGTCCCACATTCGTATTTATAGAGTGACGAATTGAACAAGTCAGTGCAAGGTAGCAAAGCTCTGAGACTGCGACTCTCAGGTTTTTACAAGTTCAAAATGTATTGCGACCACAAAGCGAATACCAACATCCTACAACTTACACAATTTTATAAACATATATAACAAAGTCTTTACTTCATAGGTACTTTTATAAATAATGTATATGTTTTGATATTATAAGATAGTATGATGTAAGTAAATAGGTACTATCAGTGTATGTATTGAGATCCACTATCGTGGACCCCCATATTCATTTCATAGACCCCCAAATTTTTTTTCGCTGACGTAGACCCCTTGTAGGTTGTCATAGACCCCTAGAGGTCGATATAGACCACTTTGGGAATCAATGCCCTGGAGCAATACCAGAACTGCAAGATTCAATTGAGTATGTAGTCGCACCAGCGCATGCCAGTGGGTAAACGCTGTTTGCTGGGTGTGCTCTGATAGCGCCACCTAGGAGCTGTCGAACTAAAATATTTGTGCTTGTGATACTAGTCAAGATAACAGACATTACTCGATTTGAGGTAAGTAACAATTTAAATTCCAAACTGAAAATTATCTTTTGATTTGATAAAAGATGACAGCGAAACATTTGCACCATAGAAACAAGAGAGGCTTAACTCAGGGGGTGACGCCAAAATTGTCGACCATGAGTTAGTACACTGCGCAGCAAATAAATTTCAGGTGATGCGCATAGGGCATCTCTCTCGCGTGTACACTGCATAGAAAATGAATTTCAGGTTCTGCGAATGTGGTACTTATGCTATCATCATGACTGTAAACAATTCCAATCTTGACAATTGCGAACAGAAATATTGGATAATATTAATAATCCACTGACTAGTAAACCTACAAAGTACGTCAAAACATGACGCAATCTTATCTCTAGTACTCGTGATTTGCACCTGCCAGACCTGCGTTGGCCGCACATGACACAGATTTCATTATAGAGACCACGCCTATATTCCACTGTCAGGTCGACGATGTTTTCCTTTTTGTCCAAGATGTGTGCGACAATAAATTCAGTTTCCCCTAGTATGCATTTCGCTCCCGGCGAATGAGTTATACCTTGATGAGTGTAAGTTCTAACAAGTCCAAGTTACAATATTTCATTTCTTTATTTGTATGTATGTCGCGCTAGTTATGCCCATGGATCCTCTGTGAAAATGAATTGGGGCCATTGCGGGAACGTAAAGCTCGAAAATTAGTTTTGAAGAGCCATGATACCCCAAACTTTTTCATCAAATTACGTTTTCGCACTTTTGTCAATGGTTTCACAGACCTCTCAGCAGCAGTTGGACATTAATTGTATACATATTCTGTTTTTAATGCCCATGGCTGATTGCGATATGTGATGATCTCAGTACTTTCGAGGTAAGTAAATATGAAGACGGTCCAACTTAAAATAATCTTTATGAAAAATAAATTACAGAAGAGATACCACAATAATTGGTATTTTGATCGTCAACTACTGATTTGCATATGTGGAATCTTCGGTCCTGACTGCAAAGCTGCGTCGGTAAGCTGGACCTGGTTCATATCCGTTCCATCCGTTGTCTGCAGGAGGTCCGTAGGTACCTACGTACTTGGTTGCATACACACTCGGCACAACATTCTAAAAAATAGGTATTAAATCACCAGATGAGTCTTTATCCTATTTGCAGAAAAATTGGTGGAGGTAAAAAAAAGTCAAGATGAACATTTTGACACAACTCACTAGGAATTGTAAACAATAAGTAAGGGCGCAAGGTAACAATTTCAAACTTTCATATTTCAGGCTTGTGCCAAAAGGAGAGTGCGAATATGTGCCGTGCCAGCACATGGTATTCACTTTAATGGAATAAAGTACTAAACAAGAATTTAATCCAGCCGAGTAATTTAAAAACGTAATGAATTGTTCAATAGCACCATAATAAAGAATTATCTTTGTTACAGGTCTCATATCGAAAAATACCAAATTTTACCTCATTTTTTAGTTTCAGAATCTGTTGCCCAGCGGTGAGTTATCATGCAAGCACCAGAAAAAACACCCATTATGAAGTAATAATACCCCCTTTAGATGGAATAATATGCCATAGATTGCAAATCAGAGTTACTGAGTACCTACTCCACATTAACTTTTTCACTCTGAACTCAAATTTATATTCATTCAGATGACAGGCACAAATTAAAACTTTCAAATCGGGTACCTTATAAAGTACCCAAGTACCCACATGTACTCTTCTTAAATATTTGGATGCAGCTTTTAAGATCCGCCAAGCAAGATTAGGCAATATTTGTACAGAACAAAGTACACCCCAAAATGGAATAAAGTCATGAGAAACATAGGTCGTAAAAGGCCAAAATACAGGGTATGGTAAATTTCTAGGCTTCTGATCAGACTGAATAGGGGCAAAATATGGCCATTGCTCAAATAACACTATATCTAGATTCTATTGCTCTCCTAATAAGCTAGGTTTTCAATGTTAAACTTCACTGAATTTAAAATATCTTCTGAGTAGAACAGGTTGAGGTTGTTTATGGCATACGGATTTTACCTCAAATATTCAAACCCACTCTTCTCCAAGAGAAGTAACTTAACAAAAATACTCCAAGAACGGCGATTCATTCAAAATTTAATACCTGATTCGGAAGTGCAGTAGAGTTTGGAAACATGTGATTTGCATAGAAAATAATTTTCTCTCAAACACAACTATTTTTGTATGTATAGAATATGCTGTTAGTACTATATGTAAAAAATGGTTAGTCAATATATTAATACAAACCTGAGATATGTTTTCTTTTGATTTCAAAATTATTATCACCTAACTGTCACCAGTATTTTAGTAGCTCTGTTAGTAGGATTTTTTGTTACTTTTTCTGACACTTTCTACCCTATAAATATTGTCACGTTTTTCTGAATGGCCCTGTATATTTAATGCTCAACTAACCTTGCCACCAGAGCTGGCGAAAAAATATTGGGCAAAAGATATTAGCGACAGCAAGAGTGACATCTTTCCAACAACGAGGGCTTTAGTTGCTAACACTGCTAGAACTCCTAAGGCAGCAGGAACCAACAGTAGCACCAGTCCAATACCTGCGATCACCCATGGCATCGGAGATTTCTTGTCTTTTCCACGACCTGGTAAGGTATAGATAGAACTAATGTAATGTAACACTTACTGAAGCAACTATAGCTTATTCTTTATACCTATAAATATCAATATTGACAAACCCTACCAAAATTTTGATTCTTCCATATTTTTTGATAATCCTTTCGTCGTCTAATGTATGTAAAAGCAACGTTTACAGGAATAATTCCCTAGAGGTAGTGACGGTAGATATTATACTAGGTGCCATATTCTTGCCAGCTCTCACATTTCAACATAATATCACTCTACTGGAATCACTTACAGGCAGGGCTGTCCAACTTAATGTGGCCCAAGGGCCACTTCAAAAAAAAATGCAGTTTGGAGGGCCGCATTATAAAATCTTTCTATACAACATTATTACAGGGTTAATGTAAGAATTGTGCATATTCGGTATTTGAGAGTAATTTATACATGTGATATACATGACCCGTGAAGCGGGCCGCAAGAAAGGAGCCGTATGCTGGAAAGCCCTGACTTACAGCATAGTAGTATCTTTAATCTGTTATTAACCATCGAAATTATGTCGAAAGCAATACTTTAATTAAAGTTAACTTTCGCTCCAATGGTAGAAGAATAAATCTAAATTCCACAAACAACTCTAAATTATTCTGAGGTAGATAGGAAGACCAAAACATTGAGTAGATTGTAAAAGCTTTTTGAATTTTAAGGGCACGATATATATGTTAATATATTGCAATTCCAAATTGTTTTGTCGTATACTTTCCAAAGCACTTGATCTCGACCTCAACTGGCTAGGCTCTTTATGTATTCTCGAAAGCACTCACATGGGTTGAGTCTGTCTTCTGCAACAGATGTGAGAGAAGTATAAAGAAACTAAACCACGTGACATTATACTTGACATCTGTCGATTTCGCGACCAGACATACCTGTATGCCTATACTGTAACTACCACGTATGTCTTTTTGCAGTTATTTTATTTACCCTCCTCTATGGCTCTGGCTAGATTCTCTCTTGTCAGCTTATCGAGGTTCAGTTGCAACGTCCTTCCTGAAGTAAATCTGCTGACAGCACCAAGAACGAGCTCCATCAATTTGTCCCTTCTTTCGGATGGATTGTTCGGCAGATGCCTTAATTGTTCTAAAGCCCTGCCTATTTCCGATGAGTTACTTGAACTAAAAAAAAATAAACATCTCTTTTTCGTAAATTTCGTTAGATTTTTTTCTCATGGAATGCATGCTAGCTCAGTTCAAATTACTATTACTTGGATTGATATTTATCAATGTATTTATTATTTATTGAGAAAATTAATATAAGAGTTTAAAACCTAAAAGAACTATGATGTTCTATGCATTAAACAAGTTTCTATGTTAGTCTCCCGTATCTCCTAGTTTATCTTATCTGTATAGTGTACGATAATGATGTCAGTGCAGTATTTAAAACTAACAGAAACAAAGTGATATTATAAACGTGCAGGCAGATTGAGGAGCGGAGTAAAGGGAAACGCAGCGACATTTGTACTTGTACGTCTGAAACGTGACACGTCGCTTTTGTCCGCGTTGCTCCAGTGTGCGGGCATTCATTTGATCATATGAAACGCCACCCAGTGGAAAAATTTCGCTTCCCTTTTTGTCGTTTCCGTTTCCCTCGGCAAACGTGCACCTCTTCTTGCTCACGTTTCCGTTTATCAAGGTCTCAGATAACGTATATTGACAAAATCGGTCAAAAAATCACAACTCTCAAAAGATCAACGCAAAGTTTTCTATAACAGATAAAGTGAGAGGCCACCTAATGCAGCTGTATATACAACTTACCTTAGGAGAGTTATTCCAGGAAGCAACTGAAGCTTCTGACGGGATTCTAGGTTATCAAAGAACTTCAAGGTTTTTCCAGCTCCACATTCAAATGCTTCTGCCGCACTCTTAGCCTGCAGACATCCACCTTCACGATCAGACTTTTCCTAAAAAATGCAAGCTGAATGAAACTCTGCACTACTCAAAGACTACAGATATCACCTACTCCTACTATAATTCATAGTACCACAGCTAATAACGCCATCTGACGACTGCACCTAACCCATAACATCCGACACAAAAGCGACGATTGTTTGCTATTCGCGCGTTACATTATACTTATAAACAAATGTAGAACATATAAAAAGGAGGAAGCAAGTAGTGACTGTAAGATGACTGAGTGATGAGCACGTAAACGTTTATTAAATAACAGAATTTTTTTTTTTAAAATCATATTTAATAACTACAACCTGTGACATTTCTCTATGCTGCCGTGGAAACTCTGGCACGCCTGATAATCCCCAAGATCCAGATTTATCTCCCCCAAACTATATTTTCTCAGATTACTGATTCAGGCAAATAAACATTGACAAAGACACAGTTTCGATCTAAAGAACAATTACCCATCTACAAAAATGTCAACGTTGTGTCGGTGATCGTCAAGTTTCTAGGAAATGGCTATTTAGTTATCCATTCTTCAGATAATTTGATATGTACCTTTTCATATGTGACACACGTATATAATGGTAACTACAGGGAAACAAATAATACTAAGTCTCCACAAATATAATAAGTAAGTAAATGGATCACATTTAAAAAATGGCGTCAAGTGGATTGATATGTATATTCTGCTACGTCCCACGCAATGCCGTCATAAGAGTCAAAAATTGGGAATATCAGTTACTTTTCAATTATTGGAATTTATACATTTGAATTATAATTATTATCTCATTTGATCTACCATTCATAACAAACTACTTTATATGTCACGGGTAATCACAATAATGGTTAATGAGCAATGTTGGACGAAGGATAAAAAATATTACCGATAGACTCGGAGCCGGGCTGCGGTGTTCCATCTACATCTATTCAAGGAGCTCGACAAGCATATCCTCCCCCACGTTCGAAGAGAACGCAGACGAGGACTTAGCTTGTCAGCCGCTTTTCCTATTTTTATTTTATACCGATTTTGGTAACATACTTGTCAAGGTTTAACCTCTACTGGTAAGCTTGGCCTTGACCGTCTGTATATTGAGCCGCCTGAGTTACCGTCGGTACCTCGACGGACACTCTTACTTTGCTCTGCTTATTTTGCTTTTGTTAAATATCTTGGCAGTATTTTAAATTTAAATCAAGTTACCTGCCACTGGCAGTGCGTTTTTGACAAATTATTTGGGCTATCCGAGGATGTGGAAACTATAGAATGAATAAATCATAACCTGTAGGTAAAATTATCAAATAAAACTGTCAAATATCGTTAGTGTTCGGTGCATTAATCAGATATCACTCAAAGTAGGCTACAAGGTAATGTATACCACTTATATCGCTCTTCAGAAACTGTCATACTTGAGCACCTTAGTATCGTGATTAGTGTTGCTGTCTAGTTTACGTCGTAGGCATAAGTCTGCTTATGCCCTTGAACAAGGGTTGTGAAATCGATAAGCTTTTATTTCAACGATAACAATATTCAACCATAGATAATCTAGTGCAATAGCAACACACATACACATGATCTAATTATTGATTAAGGTGCGTTGAGATATGTTCCAGCCCTATAGGTTGTAGCTCCTCCTGAACAAAAATCCCAAATTAACGATCACTTTTTCAATACTACCACAGGACTTTCTCATTTTCATGGATAACCAAGACAATCTTCTCGCTGGCGGTCTACTGACTTAGTGTCAAAGAATATCACTATTTTATTACCTGTATAAAGTGTATTTTGAACGCGGGCCTCATAGATATGCTTTTATCACACAACGTGTGCTTGGAGCTTGGCAAATTCATAATTAAAAGCTATTTTTCAATTCCCGCTAACATCTGCTTTTAGCAATTATTTTTATAATTTGTGCAATTTGTTAAATTATCCGACACAACGAGAGCATCTTTATATTTGCAAATACAACAACCTAATGATCCAGTTGTGATAGTGATTGAAAGTTTATTATCCCGTTTTTTTTCGAAATTTCACAAATTTGCAAATATCTCATGAACTATAATATTTCTGACCACACATATATGGGTTCATTCGATATGTTTTGTGGCCCTCTATCATCTGATTTCCGTTGATCCACTACTAACTTTACATCCTGTATAGTATTCCACACTGCATTGTAATTCTCCGATAAAATGTCACTTACAGATTTTGCAGAATATCCAATCACAAGTAACACCAGCACTATTGCAACCAACTTCATCATGATGTCAGTCCTGTACATGTATATCGCAAACAGAATGTACCTCAATAATGCACTGAACGTGTCAAAGGCACATACGACTATATAGTAAGGCCCCACCTTGTTGGACTCATATTTAAAGAACAATTACAAAGTATTATGTACAATGACAATAACAAGAAATTTTAGGTGACCCAGTGAATATATTAAAGTAAATAATCGGGTGTTTGCATCAAAAGTGGTCCGGAATGGGCTGACCAGGTCAAATAGACTCCATTTTGTTTCTGGTTTTCGCTTAAACAGCCAAGTGCATTCTTTTATGCATTCTTGTGGTTCGTGACATATATACAGGGTTGTGCGTCATGAAGGACTTTTACATGAGTGGCTTTGTGTTTCTTAACCAAGGAGCACTACATGTCAAGGAGGTAGTTGAAGAGCTGACTAAAAAAGAGACGTGAAACTGATGACATAAATGGCCTCCTAATTTGCATGACCTGTAGAATTGCGATATTCCTCTATCCATTCGTAGAGAGTATACGAGAATCTCTGACCCTCTTATAGATCACAAGTTATGTTTTAATGCTATTTTTAAACCAGCGTTTATGCTTTGCTTTCAGAAGCTTCCAATACTCTATACCAACTTCCAGTATTATCTGTAGGTGTGTGAGTAGTGATGTACGAATCAAAATGTTTGATGATGTTGCCACACTTTTAACTTCTCTGCTTAGAATTTTCAAATCGCTCTGGCACATGCACCTTCAATTGGGTCAACATCAGGATAGAAAGGAAAATATATTGACGGTTCATATTATTATATACCTATAACAAATTTCGCTTCCATGAAATGTCAAAATCGAGAAAAGATCAAATAAGGGTCAGATATGACAAAAACTATGAAATGTTGGTGGATGTGATTCAAAGAAACGTTTTATAGGATGGAAATACCTTCAACATGAGACATTACGTCATAAATTTGCTGTGTGGGTTAATACGCTGTTGTAGAAGTCACCGATTTCGGAATTTGTTTCTTATCATAGCTGGAGATATGAATTAATAGCCAAAAGCTGAAGTATTTCCAAATCCCAAAACGAAACATAAAAAACTAAAACAAATTCTACAAATTTTGTAATTTTCGCTACAATCTTTGTGGTTAGTGGTCTCTTTCAAATCTGAAAATATAAGTAGGGAATGCTATGTATAACACATTACTTGGTGTTAGGTTAAGGAAAAGAGATGGTACAACCCGATCAGCAGCATAGGACAGACCAATAGTGTGCGGCATATCACTATTACAATGCAATGGTCTACGACGTTCCAAAAAAGATAGAGCCACAGCTTATTACTTGGATAGTCAGCACCGGTACTACGTATCGAGAAATTTTTTTTTATACTCCAACCGCCACAAAGGCCTAAGGCCTAAACACCCATGGGGTACCGTGGGGCTGTAGGGGGATACAGGGGAAAGGAGGGACGCCACATGGACTCCAGCGAGGGAACACAATTACAACATCCATAGCCAAGAGCACGGCGACTGATCAGGAGACCGAAGAGTCTTCTACTGCGGCCACCACTGCTGCCTAGAGTGATTTTTTTCAACATTATATTAGTTTTTTGTGACATAATGTAGGTTTTCAAAGAAGATGTTAGCTTAGCACTAGCTGATGGTTACGTTGTGAACCCGTTTTGTAGTTATGTACGTGTTGCCTAAACGTCATGAGGCTTCAGTTATCAATGTTTGGCTCTGACATGATGTAAAATCTGCTTCAGAGATGGCCTTACTGGAGGTAACGCCAATGGACAGGCGCATAGTGATGATTTGTGTGCTAATAATATGTGTTGATGATAATTCGATTGGATTCTTGTCTTAAATACACTCACTTGTGATTCAAAGCTAGAAATTAGTTGAACATCCACTTTTTCTTATCCATTCTGGAAGTTACATATGCAAATTTGCCGAATTTAAAAAATGAGAGAAATAAGAAATAATTATATTTACTGTACACTGTCGAATTACAACTCATATACATGCTAACAGCAGTTAATCCTCAAACTTTTTGAAAACACAAAAAAAAATGTAAGAAAGCGTAATTTCTAACTTTGAACATAACCTGTCTTCAGAAATGACAGCATATATATAACCCGTTGGGCACAGATAATAGATATACTTCATTGGCAGCATATTCACTGATGATTTTCTCACACAGCAAATGTCACTGATTTTATACACATGCAGACCAATGCACACAGTCGTCCAGATGCAACCTTGCTATTCAACCAACGTTCTTCTTCGATATGAAAACTATAGGCTACTCGGCTTCTCAAAACATATGCAACCAACATTGCGTGGAGTTGAACTATGCCTCCATGGGATGGACGCTCACAACGATCCTAGTGAGCAAACATGGAATGACCCTAAAAACTACATCGTCTGTAAGATGACATTTTATAGTTTTTTTTTGACGTTTTTTACATAATACCCGCGCCGGAATGATAACAATTATGACAAGGAACGGCGTTTTTGAAGAGGTCTTCAATGGCTCAACCGCTAGGGTAAACTAGACATTCAAGGTCTCTTTTTATGTCTTTGTAGACCATATGTCAGCAATACTTCATAGTTGTTTCATTACTCGATGGAAAAGACTATTCAGGATTTGATTTTCAACGAAAAAGTTACCCAGAATTATTTCATTTTTAGATGACATACGTTGTAGTTTACCCTCCAGAATACATAACTATGTTATTAGAAGATTCATCTTTGGCTAGTTAGCTTGATCTAAGAGACATGATGCGTAAAGTGGAATATTTTAGGGTCATGAGATAATATTGCTATTTATTCATAACAATTGTTGGACGCGTTTCTCTAGTTTCAATATTAATTCCACTTGAACTGACCCGTTATTTATGCCGTATTTATAGGTCATAAACTGAGAAGGTATGCACTGAGCACATGATTTTTCCTAATAATGGATAATAAACCTCGCAATAATGTCTAATTCATTATTTAATTACACATTAAATTACTCATGTTTTATTTGATCATTAACTGTCAACAGTTATCTAGGTGTGAAATATGTCCACTGGTGATTCCAATTTATTTTGTAGGCTTGTTTGCGACAACACAACCGTTGAGACAGCTAAGCCTCCTAGCCATTTCACTTACCTCGACCGTTTCCATTTTTCCATTTTTTGACAGTTTTCACTTGATCGATTCTCAAAACTAAAAAGCTTTTTTATGCTCAGCATCGCAGTAGCTTTGTGGGGAAATTGCGGGAGGTACTTTACAAATTATAGACGAGGCAAGGATAAAAGCGGGCAGACAGGGTACTTGTTATTTTAAACGAGCGTATAGTTTTAAATAAACTTGCGATTTGATGTTCCTAGCATTCTCTAAAATAAAAAAATAATATTAAATGTATTTTTAACAGACAAAAAGTATATTTTAAAAAAGTAAATATTTTTGTGAATTTACACCTGGTTCCCTAATTTGAGATACTATTCAAAAAATCCCTTTCTTTTGCAGGAAGTGCAAATGAAAATTTTATTGGTAATCTCTTCACAATCTTTATGTGCCCATCTACTACAATGTCTGTATTTTGCCCATTTTTCACCCTTCTTATCTTCGGAAAATCGACCCGTACAAAATAAACATTCAGCATCGCTTTCATGTTGCTTTCGTCTGAAGATGAATCATCCAACTTAAGACTTCCGCCTAGCTAAGCCTCCTAGCCATTTCACTTACCTCGACCGTTTCCATTTTTCCATTTTTTGACAGTTTTCACTTGATCGATTCTCAAAACTAAAAAGCTTTTTTATGCTCAGCATCGCAGTAGCTTTGTGGGGAAATTGCGGGAGGTACTTTACAAATTATAGACGAGGCAAGGATAAAAGCGGGCAGACAGGGTACTTGTTATTTTAAACGAGCGTATAGTTTTAAATAAACTTGCGATTTGATGTTCCTAGCATTCTCTAAAATAAAAAAATAATATTAAATGTATTTTTAACAGACAAAAAGTATATTTTAAAAAAGTAAATATTTTTGTGAATTTACACCTGGTTCCCTAATTTGAGATACTATTCAAAAAATCCCTTTCTTTTGCAGGAAGTGCAAATGAAAATTTTATTGGTAATCTCTTCACAATCTTTATGTGCCCATCTACTACAATGTCTGTATTTTGCCCATTTTTCACCCTTCTTATCTTCGGAAAATCGACCCGTACAAAATAAACATTCAGCATCGCTTTCATGTTGCTTTCGTCTGAAGATGAATCATCCAACTTAAGACTTCCGCTGCATTCTGAACTTGAACTGGAGGGGGAAGGTATCTATCCGAATCCTCTTGAGGCTTTTAAATAATCGATCTCCTTATTCTTGTGTTTCCAGGCATCTGCATCATGATACAGGGCCCTAATTTGTGTCTCTAATAAGGAAAACTTGGGTATCTCAAATTAGGAATTTTCTGTTAAAAAGCTTACACAAGCATATTTAGGGTGACTTCGAAGTTGAGTCATTTATTTTAACAGTGAGTAGATCTGATCAAAAGAAATGTTTTTTTCCTATAACATTTTTCTGGTCAAATTAAAGTAACAAAGTTATAGCCCTTTAGAGGTTTGAGTACCGCCCTGTCTCAATAATAATATTATGTGCTCGTGTTTGGCAACAACGGATATAATCCGCCTTATCGGTTCATCGCATCGGAAACAAAAAGCGAAAGGATTTGAAACATTTATCACGATGTTTTTACTCAATTTTATTCAGTCGTATTCAATCAATGTGTCAGTCGGTAACGCGTGAGTGAATAGTGGTGTTTGTTGCCTATCTCAAACGAAATAAAAAATGGCACATGTTTACGAAAATGCTGAACTTGTGGACATGATTCTTATTTACGGGGGGGAGTCTTTACAAAATGCTGCCGCGGCATCACGCATTTATGCGAATCAGGTGACTTAAGACCTCACAGGGGACGGTATGCCGGTGCTCCAAGACCGCACGATCAAATACAGGTCCGCAGTGAAATACTTGTCGGGAGGATACTTTATAAAACAAGGTAACATTTTCTTTTATTTTTTTTTTATTTT